GGTAAGTGAAACAAAATTTGGGGAGGAATCCCCCCCCAAACCAGAAATAACAATAAGAACAAAAATGAGAAATGACTGATAAAACCATACTCATAGGGAGAAATGTCTTAATATAAACTTCCATTAATTATTAATTGATATTTTAAGCAAAAACAAATGATAATAAGAATAAAGAAAACATGATACAGTTAGTTTAGTTGAGTGGACATGGACACACGTGATTGTGGGATGGCCCTCTGTATGCTGTGAATACCATTGGTTAATAAAGAAGCTGTTTTGGGCCTGTGTAGGGTAGGGCAGAACTGGGAGGGGAAGTAAACTGACTGCTGGGAGAAAGAGGATGGAGTTAGAAAGAAGCTACGGAACTGCTGCCAGAGACAGATAAGCTGGAACCTTGCTGGTAGGCCATGAGCTTTGTGGTAAAATATACAATACTGGAGATGGGTTAATATTAGATTAAAGAGCTAGCGAGCAATACACTTAAGTGATTGGCCAAGAAGTGATTTAAATAATATAGTTTCTGTGTGATTATTTTGGGAGTCTGGGCGGCCAGTTAAACAAACAAGCGGCTTCTTATAACACATATGTATATATGTATTTGTGCAGATGTGTTTATCTTTGAATTTAACAGCTAAGATACACTTAGAAATCACACTGAGCATTAATAAGTTGGCCACTTTGTCTCAACAGAGATGCCTGATTTGTTTCATAGCACCTTTTGTGATTTTGAGAGAATTTCTTTTCAATAGAATAACAGACCAATTTAAAAAGAGGGAAATGAGATACTAAAAACCATACTTCAAATAAAACAGTACATATTGCAATCTCTAGAATGTAGCCAAACTCTTTTATGGGGACAAAATATAATCTACTGTCTATGTGTATATACTTCAAATAAAACAGTACATATTGCAATCTCTAGAATGTAGCCAAACTCTTTTATGGGGACAAAATATAATCTACTGTCTATGTGTATAGTAAGTGAAATAGAACATGTGTGTCCTATTCCAAAATTAAAGTGAAAGAATAAAACTGTAGAACATGAACTAAAATGCTAGTAAATCTTGAGAGGTTACATGAGTGTACTAGAAAGTGAAACACAACAAAACCAAACAAAAGATTATAAACATTAACAAAGCTAGATGAACAGGTCAAGATTGATCAAAGAATCAGTATGTAAGAAAACACAAGTACATGGACAATATGATGATTTAAAATAATATCAGATATAATTTGAGTAAACTTATCAAAGCAAGGGAGAATATCTAGCTTTACTTAATTGCAAATGAAGACACTTTCTTTTCCGACTTTTTCTGTAGAATGAGAAAGAAAGCTCTCTTTTATCTTTCTATCTACCTTGTGCTACTTTGAGAATAAATGCAGACAAAAATCAGTATGATAAATCACACTACACATACCCACAGTCAAAAGCAGAGAGCAATACATTAATGCATGAATGCCCAAGCTCAGGCCACTTTCCCCTTTGTACTGTACAGGACCTAAACATCAGAAATGGTGCCCTCTACAATGAATGGGTCTTCCAACCCCAATTACTGTAATTAAGACAATCCCCACAGATGTGCCCACAGGCCAATCCAGTTTAGTCGGGTCCTCTTTGAGACTTCCCAAGTGGTTCTAGATTGTATCAAGTTGACCTTTAAAAACCAACTCTTAGAAATACTTCCTGTGAGATCCCAACTGAGGAACAGTCTATGAAGTATCTGACTAGAACTCCTCAGAACTCTGAAGGCTGTCAACATGTGAAAAGCCTAAGAAGTGGTTACAATCTAGTGAAGACTTTAGAGATACACGTATTGTTCCTAATGACCATTATAGTAGCAACAGGAGGAAAAATTAAGGAACTCTATAGGATGCAGAGGTGGCTCAGTGGGTGAAGTGCTTCCTGTGCAAGTGTGTGGGCCTGATTTGAAATCCCAGAATCTGCATATGAGTCTGATGTGGTGGGGTGTATCTGTAATCCCTGTGCTCCTGTGAGGAGAAGGGAGGTGGAGGCAGACACAACAGTGAACAGAAGACCCTGCCTCATGCAAGGTGGAAGGCAAGGACCAATTCTCCAAAGTTGTACTCTAATCCATGTATGTGCCGGGGCATATGTGCACACACACACACACACACACACACACACACACACACACCTTTTTAAAATTTGTAAATAAAGTTTGGACTTTAATCTTGTTTTAGTACTGGCTTGTTAGTTGTAATAAATATCCTAATGCGAGAAGCTGTGTATCTAACTAGTGTAGATAGAGTATTTAGAGATGATCTCTACCCTACTTACAATTTTTTCAAAAATCTCCAACAGTTTTTAAAAGCCTATCTTTTAAATAATAACACGAGGAGCAAATTGTTAAATAAAAATGTATTAAAACTGAACAAGAAATTAGGGGCCGGAGAGATGGCTCAAAGTTAAGAGCACATGCTATTCTTGAGGACCCTGGTATCATTCCCAGCATCCACATGGTGGTTCACAGCCATTTGTGACTCCAGTCCCAGGGGTTCCAGTGTCTTCGTCTGACCTCAGGAGCACCAGGTGTGCATGTGATGGGCATGCAGGCGGGCAAAACACTCATATGACTAAAATCTTGAAAATTTTAAAATAAGAAATTGAAATGAGTACCCTTTACAGATTAGGTAAAGCTGGGTGTGGTGGTTCATGCCTTTAATCCCAACATTCAAGAGGCTGAGGCAGATGGAGCTGTGTGAATCCGAGGCCTGCCAGGTCTACACAGTAATAAGTTCCAGGACAGCTAGCATTACACAGTGAGAACCTTAAAACAAATAACAAGGTAAAGAAATGAATTAAAAGGATATTTAAAAATCCTAATTGGACTTTTATATCTAGTTGACTATAGTCGTAAAAAACTATAGATAGCTCCAATTGTTTCCTCAAGTCTTTCCTAAGCCACACTGAAAGGACAATTAAATGAGTCATAGCTCCACAGGGCACAGATAGCAGGGGGGGATAATAACAGCTAATTTCTAGAGATAGCAAAGAAGATGGGACATACTAGTTGAAATGGCATTGTCTCATGTCAGGGGCCCTGGCAGCTGAGAAGGAGCCTGGCTGAAATCATAGCAGCTTCTCTGACAGTTGGAAGGATAACCATGTTAGGTTCCTACACAAGTAGGAGGCTGTGATGGGGCTGAACACAGGTGCATCCATTTCAGAACGTGTAACCGGGCGTAATGGCTTTCAATCCCAGCACTTGGGAGGCTGAGGCAGGAGGAGTGTTGGAAGTTCAAGGCTCTCCTGGATTACAAAGTGGGATAGCCTAGAGTAAAACAGAGTGAGATGGGGGGCGGGGGGAAGAAAGAAACAGAAGAAGAAGAAAGAGAATTAATTATCACCGCCGACAAGCTGCAGACTTTATTCTAGAAGATAAAGTAGATGACAGTGTTTCTGGGCCGTGATCACCAGTGCATGACTAAGTACGGAGATGAGGTCTTGAAAACAGAGGGATTAGATTAGATAAGGGTTGCATACTTTCTCAGCAAGGGGGAGATTTTTGGGGAAATCATTTCCTGGAGTTTGAGTTCTAGGAAAAATAAGAAAGCATCATAAGCCGAGTGTGGTAGTATGTCCCTGTAATCCCAGGAATCAGGAGACTGAGGAGACTAGAGAATTCCAGGCCAACCTGAGGTACAGAGCAAATCCCAGGTCAGCCTGGGCTGTACAGTAAGATGTTGTCTTAGCAAAACAAACTAACATCCAGAAACAAAAATCTGGGGCTTTCAGGTGGTTCAGCAGGTGAAACCTGACTCCTTTGTTCAATATCCAGTAGTCATAGCAGGGAGAACTGACTCCTGCAGGCTGCCCTCTCACCTCCACGTGTGCATCTGGCATCAGACACCCACACATACACAAATATGTACATGCAAAATAAGTAATTTTTAAAGCCTTAATCTCCATCCAAAATACCAGTGTTGAGAACATTGCTATATGAGTATATGTCTTCATGGACTAAGTTTCCACTGAGCATGTGGAGATGCCAGGAAGACCCTGCAACTGGCCGTGTCACTCAGTGGGTACAATGCTGGCCTAGTATTTGTGAGGTCAAAAGTTGGATCCGTGTGAGCAGATGGTATTGGAGAAATGCAGAACTGAAGAGAGACAAAAAAAAATCAGGTATTTAAAGATGTGAATATGTAAATGGCACCTGAATCTGGGTCATTAGTCTGTGTGAGAAAAGGATGATGGGAGGGAAGAGAGAAGCATCTTGTGGGTCTTTGGGTATTCAAAGGCACATGAGATGGAGAACTGGTCCAAGAGGGAAACCAGGTGCATGTCATACCTGGGGGTCAGCTAATGAAGCATCTCAGGAAGGAGGCCTAACTGCACACATCAAATCTGCTGGGGACTGAGAATGAAATGCTTTACTTAAGCACCACGGAGACCATGAGTGGGATGGAGGGGCTGGAGCACAGTGGAGACTAAGGTTTTGATAGAGAAGGAGCTTTGGGCAGTCTCCAGAGGGCGTTTGCAAACTGGAATGAAATCTCTGGGCTGCAAAAGGTTTGGAGAATACCCCTCTCCCCTGGAAATACAAGGGCAGAACTGTAAGAAAAAGGTATGCGGAAGAAGAGAAGTTAGAAAATATCATGCGATTTGGTTGCTGGCTACCGTTTATCCTATAGCGCATATAGGAGAAATATTCTTGCTATGATGCAGCACTCTTGAGTGCCTTAAATGTATTTCTGGTTATTTTTCTCTCTTGCTTTCTTCATAAAATCCTGCCCAGGATCAGCCTAAGCATATACATCCTTTCTTGTTGGGCTTTCAGTTTGAAGAATCAAACATTTGACCTTTCATGACTAAATCTCTATTTCTGTTCTGTCAAATTCGCAACCATTTTTTAATCTTAATTACTTTACTGAGAATTCATAAAATTTAAGCACAGGTAATTTGCGTTAAGACTAAAAAATACTATGATGATGAAATTAAGATCATGTTGGCAGATTCTTCCATTCTTTCTCCACAGACAGCAGAGAATGTCTTGCAGACGACTGTAGTATAATTGCTGGGGGGAACCTCACTGGTTGGCACCCAGATTCAGCTGCTGTGTTATGGCGAAGAGTCTTGGGAATCCTTGGGGATGTGAATAGTATCCAGTCACCGAAGATCCATGCCAGGGTTTTGGGCTATCTCTATGATCTGTGGTACAAGCTGGCCAAGGTGTGTTCTGCTGTTACCTTTTATACTGATCCAGAAAAATTAACATGCATCATTTAACATATAATCTATTGATTGCATTTTAAAATGCAGATTATGTGATTAAATGAAGTCCATTTGATTGCCCAAGAAGAAGTCATATCTGTCATTTTAATACTTTATTAAATGCCTTAAGAGTTATTTCATTTAGTACAAAAGTATAAGAATAGAAGATATTAAGAATAGAATACTATATGGATTTATTATTAATTTTAGTAAAGTGTTGGTATTTTTATTGTGCAAAGTTGGGAAAATGTAGAAAATCATGAAGATATTTATAGCCTTATTTTATAGAATAACCAGTATTAATATATAAAATGTATATTTCCATGAGTAAAGACATTTTATAAAATAAACTCTTAGATACATTTTTCATCCTGTCTCTTGTTTTGATACTAAATGTACATTTTCCATCATATTTTTCCAAAATATGATTTATGTTTATATAGCATTATTTATGAAATCATTTCTTACCTTTTGGAGTTCATGACCTCCCTAGGTGTTCACGTGCTAGGAAAAGCAATACCATTCTTTTGAGTTTGAAGCTCTGACTACATGTAATAAGCCAGACACAATCCAAAAGGACAAGAAATCTCATAATGAAAGAAAAACCTTGGTGCTGGTCCTGCTGAGCCAAGGCTGGGAGAGGAGCAGCTGTGGGCGGGGCAGGCCAGCTGGGAATTTAGAAAAAAAAAAAAGAAAAAAGAAGAAAAACATGTAAATACTATCGATTTCTCATTCCACATATAAAAAATGGAATTGGTTTCTTGGTTATACAATATTGCTATATATTGGAATAAGTGGAATGTTACCTCACCCAAAACTCTCTTTTGAATTAGATACGAGACAATCTAGCGATAAGCCTGGACAACCAGTCGTCTCCGTCTCCCCCACTCCTGATCCCACCACTCAGAATGTTTGCATCGTGGCTATTCAAGGCAAGTGCTTATTCTTTTATTGCAATTTCCTCTTCCCTTCTGAAATTGAGTTTTAAAACTGTAATTGCCCAAGACTTCATGTTTTGAAGACAGACTGGGACTTACTACAGCCAGCACATCCCACGTCTCCAAACAACTCTTCAGGAAAACTGAGAAGTAAATGAAATGTTGAAATGCTCTGCATCTGGTCTTGATTTAATCTAGAAACATCATCTCCTTGGCAGGCTACAACTCTGCCAAATGAATATAAGGAAGGCAAACTGCAAGCCTACAAACTGATCTGCGCCATGATGACCAGACGCCAGGATGTTCTGCCAAACTCGGATTTCCTGGTGCATTTCTACCTTGTGATGCACCTGGGATTAACCAGCGAGGACCAGGTATCCTGTGACTCCTTGATCATGGTGTACCATAGTGTGAAACTGCTTGTCACCTGTGAAAATATGCCAGAAATGCTTAAATCCTCTTCACACATACGGTTTTCAAATTTATCGTACTCTTACTTGTTCCCCTCCCTGACTGTACATGTACCAACTAAATCTTAATTTTATTCTGCAACCCACATCATCCACTCTCTGCCTTTGTTATCAACTGCAAAGTACCATCTTAGCTATTTTGCCCCTGCTGTTCTGGCCAATTTAAAAGTGTTTGGAGATACATGTTTTAGTAGTTGTATTCTTTTGGTGAGGTACTATCTCCTATGACTTAAGGATATTGGCATTCCTTGATGTGGAGTTACTTTTATTTATTCCAAAGAAATAGAAGATTTTGTTTGGTAGGACCAAAAAGACCCAAAGCCTTCTTCACAAAGCTCCAGTCCCCTCTTTGCAGATCCTGGATTTAGGGTAATAAGATGTGACCAGTACCCGGTCTTCCTCCCTTGGGAAGTTCCCTAGCACGTTGAGGGACAGGAGGAGGGATGTGGGTAGGCATGTGGACTTTTGAAAACTGTTCTTATTATATTTGCTTATTTCTTTTGTGTGTAGTAGTTGGGGTGTGGGCACATTAGTGGCACAGCTGAAGTGTGAAGGTCAAAGAACAACTTGAAGCAATCAGTTTTCCTTCTGCCATGTGGGTCCTGGGGTACTCAGGCCACCAGACTTAGTGGCAAGCTTGACATTTATTTATTCATTTTCTCTGGAATGTACTTGGGTCTTCCAGTGCTTGAGAAGTGGTCACCATATTCTCTGGTTCCCTGGTATGAACTTTGAGCCGTACTCATTGAGCTTTGTTATGATCCATTACCACACCATCTCAATGAGTTGTTCTTGTCTTGTTCCCTCTGAGCAGCGTTAGAAGACACTGACAATAACAGCTGAGCTTGGACCCAGGGCTTCATTTATTTTTAAAATAGATGTCTAAGTGGGACATTAAGTACAGGCGCTTGTATGCTCTGCTTAACTTTTTCCAGCTGCCCCTTCAGGTGAAAGCACCTCCTTCAGAATGATGCAGTGCAGGGCACATGGAAGATTAAGGGGTATAAATAGCAAAGAGAATCAACTTCAAAGGTTCTAATGAGCTCCCTCAGTGTAGGAAGGTTGACTTTATGTTAAAGTAGTGTTTTGATAAGATTTTTCATGGAAAAAATATGATTTGGAAATAATGATCAGCTGTAGAATTTTTGATATATAATAAAAATAAATCTGAAAACAGCACAAAGCAGTAGTTCTTAGGAAGCTTTTGGTTTTTTTTTTTTTAGAAAGTCCCATAAAGAGGTATGAATTTAAAATCATCTTTCTGTGTAGGTGTGAAAATGAAACAATAAAATATGAAATAAGGATTATACTATTTAAGAACTCTAAGTAGTATAAGTATACTTTTATGAATTGTTTTTAAAAAACTTTATGTTAAGGAAAAATTGAAAATTATGTACTTTAAATTGTCTTCACATTTTAATGTACATCATGTTTTCAGTTAAATGAAGACAGTGATCTTTTGTAGATTTGTTATAAAATAGTATAAATCTTAAAAGACAGCCCAATGCCAGCAGCAATACCATCATTGCAGACGTTAGGACAGAATGGTGATATCCTACATCTCTACTCTATAATTAATCTATTGTGTGTGCCAATAGCAGCCTGGATTTTTATGGGACTTTAATAGAATTAACTATTTTACTTTAACCTTAACAATTATTAGTATATGTATTAGAGACCCTGACTGTCTGCCAAAGAGAATTACCCTAAGTGAACTTCATTTCTTCCCCAGAAGAAACTTACAGAGTCCTTCTAATGAAAGAAACCATTCTTGTTTAGCTAAGAAATGTCTCTGGCTAATTAGTTTAACTTTTGGCCCAATTGTCTAAATAGATCATGTTGGTTGTTTGAGAAGTTATCTGTACTTTTGGAAACACATGCAATATTCATTATAAAAAGAAAAGAAAACATTTGCTACAGAGAATACAGTTAAATTCAATTTTTAATTGGTACGCCAAGCACCTGTGGCTGGTACCGTGTTAAGGCTTTTTCCATTATGTGAGAGTCGCAAAGAACTACACTTCCATGCAAATGTTTATGAAGAAGGAGAAGTCTAAAGACTATCCTTTGTTTTAAAAATAAGTAATAGCAAATATATATGTATATTTTAATTGAACTTTTACTAGTTTTGTTTTACAAATAAAATACAAGATGTGTTTTCTCCTTTGGCCTCTGGGTGGCACTCTTGTCTGCTCAACCTAGCCATGTGGTTTAAAACTGCTGGAAGAGCCAGAACCCTGTGAGTGATAGTGTGTACAACATGATGTTTTACAAAATGCTGTCCTGAATCTGAGAATGTCAGGATTATATCCATGGTGCTCAATAAAATGCTGAGATAAAAACAAACACTAAGAATTAAGTATCGTTGCAAACAAAATGCTTGAAGTAATTGAGATATTTAAGTGTAAAAATCATTCATAAAATATTTATCTCATAAATAGCCCTCTGTTCTTGTGTACAATCATGTAAAAGCATAGTTTTATCTAATACGACACCAAATTTGTTATGTAAGTCAAATAGCCAAAATGTAGTACTTCTAAAACAACATTTGTAATAGTGTTAGCTATCTTATTAACTTATTTAATGTCCAGCACAATGACCTTATCAGGTAGCCTTTCTCTCTCAATGTAGATTTAGTGTGGGTTTGTAGTTTGAATAATTGAAAAAAGTCCATAAAATAGTGGTGACTTGGTGACTTTCTCCTCTCTCTCTCTCTCTCTCTCTCTCTCTCTCTCTCTCTCTCTCTCTCTCTCTCTCTCTGTTGATGTTTGTTGTTATTGTTGTTTTTTCCAGACAAGGTCTTACTTGGATGTGCTGGAATTCACTATGTAGATCATGCTGGTCTGAAACTCATAGAGAACTGCCTGCCTCCTACATGCACGATAAAGACATACACCACCTTGCCTGACCTTGGGTTTTTTAAACAATATTAATCTTGCTACCAGTTCAGAAGTAATTAGAATCTTAAGCATCTTTATAATAGTGACCAATTATGAACTCTGCGTGTTGTACAGGATTACTCAGCCTATGAGCGATCTTCCTTTTGGCCTCCTCTGCTTAGTTGCATTGTGCCTGTATTGGGGTGGAGGTGGAGTGGGAGGGTGTTTGTTTCTCCTAGATTCACAATTCCAGGAACAATGTGATGTCCTACTGATTCTTCTCCAAAGTTCACTTGGCTAAATATCATGTCCTATCTCATGAGTAATGAAAGTTCAAAACATCTTGAGAATTTTTGCCAAATGCCACATATTCAAAAAGTTGTTAGAATTTGAGGAAAGACTTGATTTACCCATCGGGCATGTCTTTTCTATTGATTGACAGCTAACATGTTGATCAAACACTTCTTGACCTTATTCCTCCCTTGCTTTATTTTGCCTGACAATAGTCCTTTCCACTTCATACTCACTAGACCTCCAGATGCCTTGACCTACTTCATACTCTGACCTACAGATATCTTCCCAAGTAGTTGCCTTTCCAGCTTTCTGTCATTTTTTGGTTTCTCATCTAAAGCTGTTCTTGGTTGTTCTTAGTTTTTCCTAATGTTAAAGCAGCTTTTTCACCTCAGTCTTCCCCAAAATATTTTGACATGAAAGGAGCTATGATTTGGATTTATTAAAAACATTTCCTATTAATTTCATGATTATTTAAAACATATGGAAAGATCAATACGTGTGAAATGGAAAAGGACAGTTGAGGAAAGGAATTTTATTTTCATGTTTATAAGAACATATATCAAAGACTGGAAAGTTTTCTTTTCTTAAAATAAGTGAACTATTTTTTAACAATGACTTACAGATTTACCGTCTTAATGTAATTTAATTTGTCTGTTATACATCAAAGTTAAATTCTCTTTTAAATGCAAAGCTTACAGTAATACAAAGTTATTGTTGCAAATTTGCATATAGAAATTTCGGGAAATGTGGATCTTTGTTATTGTTGTCTATAATGTTATATTATCATATTTTCTAAGGCAGCAAGAAGAAAAGCATAAAGCTTTCCTCAGGTGAAGAAGATTATATAGTTCTGCTCTAGAATATCCATTGACATGCAGGTTTAACCTTATTAACATAATATTATTATATGGTAGAATATAATGTGAGGGTATGTAACAGTTAGAGCTTTCAGTGGAACTGAGTTCTAGTCTTGGCCTTCATTTCGTAGCCAAATCATTTGGGCTCGTCATGCCCTGGTTCTGTGTCAGAGGAGCATATTATAGAGGGCTACTTCCCTTGCTGAGCATGAACCCTTATGTGAATGACTACAAAGGACTATGAAGACAATAACTCCAAGAGCCTCATGCATTTTATTTTCACAATAACTGAAAATTACCCATCTGTCATCTTATTTTTTAATATAATGATTTGGCTGAAAAACATACTTATGTACTATGAAATTTTACAAATGGAGAAATCCTTACTCCTTGTGTTGTGGGTCAGACATAAGTAGTGTTTACTTTGCCTTGTATACCCACAATCTAGAAATGTCTTTTGTGGTCCTATGGTCATTGGCTTACTCTCTTTACTTGCTTCTCACCTAAGTCAATGAAGGTTGGTGGAAGACTGAACTCTGCACGGGCCACACTCCTTCTAACTGGGTTGACATAGCACTTGAAAGACTTGGAGTTTAATGGGATGACATCTTGAGGGAACTGGGTCCTCCTGTCTTGAGGTTCTGCCTGGACACCAGCATCACTGTAGGCAGTCAGATCTCTGCCAGTGCCAGCCTCCTCAGGGTGTAACTGGGTGTTTGCTTGCTACCCTTTCCTTGACTGTTGAAATTCATACTTGATTCTTTAGCTGGAAATTCTGTAATCCAGCTAACACTGCTATCAATTTCTGTCCTCAAACTTCTTGAAAAGTGGATTCTGTTGTCTGCAAGTAAGATTCTGGCAGTGACTGCTCCAT